CATTCGTGATAGGCGTCAAGTAGGCACAGCCGATCGTAGAGACGAAATTACGGATTTAAAAGTAAGACATTGAAGAGTGAATCAGGAGTGACGAGGTAATATCAATCATTTACAACTACACTTGAGGGTACAATTCGAAGTCCACCTTCTGTTGTTGGAGTAACGATGTTGTGCAATTGAAATGCGACCATGCGGACTTTGTCTTCCCACCCTGTCTACCAACCGGTTGTGGTGCCGATTCAACTGCTGTATTTACCGGTGCTTTGATGTGGTTTTTTTTTGTTTCACGTTTTTTTTTTTAAAAAAAAACAATCAGAAGGTAAATTTTTCCACCTACACGATTTGTTCGTCTTTCCTTGCCTCATCTCTACTGATGCAGGCCTTTTCTCTCCACTACTTATCAGTTCACATTTTTGTGGGAAAATGATGCCTTCTCAAACTGTTTCAACCCTTTGAGTGGATAAAATGACCCTTCACTTATAGCATCAGATGTGTGTGTGTGTGTGTGTGTGAAAATGCAATTAGAAAAGGTGGATGTCTCAATTTTTAGTGTTAACGACAAGTAGACTTCAACAGGCCTCCAAGCCTGGGTCCAACAAATAAGCACACATACGCACATCCAAACAGGGGTTGTGGTCACCACTCCCTTCCCCTTTGCACACCTTGTCACGTGATCCTCCAGGCCCAATGGGTGGTGATACATACAGCATTGGACACATGATGGGAGTATGGAGGGGGGAGGGGGGGGCAAGGGGAAGGGTGTGTGCGTGAGACTGTTACCTTCCCTTCATTCTTCTCTCTCCTTTTCGCACGCACACGCACACACACGTTTAGACAAGGGACTTGCCTCTTACAACTTCAATAAGGAGGGAGGATTAAACTCGTCAAAGCGCTGTTTGTTAGTAATGCGAATTGAAGGTAGACGGCATGGCATCTAAACAGTCACGTGAACGTCACAATAAGTCATTTCATTGGACCACGGTAAAGGGGTAGGTAACAAAGAATTTTGGCCCATAAAACGCGCTAGGAGTGTGAATTTGTGTCGTGTTTTTCGGGTCAAGTTTTCATTTTTTTTATCGTTTGCTATGGCGAGTAAATAATCGGCATTTAAGTCACTTTCCTACTTCTTCTCCTTTTGCACAAGAACTTGACGGGCAGTTGTGGGAGGTAGGGAAAGGGAGAGGCAAGAAGGCAAGGGAAAAGGAACAAAGAAAGCTTTTAATCAGCCGTCTTGTAGGTAAAGAGACACTTATGGGAAAGGGGGAAAGACAAATCCTCAGTCCCTTCTTCGTAGTAGCATTTGCTTGCCTCACATTAGGCTCGCCCACTTTCATGCTGTTGGAGCACACGTATGAGGTCTTAAGGCCGCCTCGGAGAGGGTAGCATCACAAACCGGTGAAATTGATCACACATTTGCTTTTACTTCTTTCCAGAAAGCAAATGCGATACAGACGATAGGGAGGATGAGATTGACATTGAAGGTGACAGTAATCCCTGCTTTCGATGTCTCCACATCTCTGGTCACATTTGCAAGTGGTTTTGGGGCTTTGCTGACGATCCCTGCCCTGAGGATGTGCAATGCTGTTGTTCGTGTGTTTGCAAACGAGCTTCATCCATTCAAACCGCAATTGAAGACTCGGAGCCTCTGCAATTCGTTCCTGTGGGTCTGAAGCAGAAACGCAGCACCAAGATTGGACTTTTTGTGGGTTTGGTGATGATTGTCATCACTACTGTCTTTCTCTTCTGCTTCTTCTCCCTCTACTTCGGTCCAATCTCACGTGGACCACTGAAAATTATCGGCAATACATCCGTACAGGCAACACTTGATGCAATTGAAGAGTTAAGAAGCTATGGCATAATTGCCGACTAATTTCTACCCCCCTCCCCCCCCAATAACCCTTTCTCCCTCTCTCGCTGCTCATGAGTTGTTATTACCAAATGATTTGGTCGTCTTCCCGTCCCTTCTCCCCTTTTATCGTGTTTTTACGTGTGAGCACATTGAGTGCGGAATTGTAGATTGCCATGTTGCATTATGGGACCATGTTGTATTCATTTGTCGATTATTACCACTTCCCAAGCCCTTTACTTGTTAGTGGGGGAGAGAAGAGACTTCTGAAAGGGTAGTCTTAATGGCTGTAAAAACAGGGATGGTTTGCACGGTGGGACAGATCCTATTTAAGGAGGGAGGAAGGAGGCGAAGGAGTATCGCGAGGCCTAGGCGTTGCATCTCCAGGCCAGAGGTAGTGCAGTTATTGCGTTGGATTATTAGTCCTTGAGGGAAAGGGAAAAGATTCCTTATTCTGAGTGATTTTATACAAAGAAGTCAAAATTGCAAGCCCTAAATTTTCGTCCGCTTGAGTTGATCTACCGAGGCTGGAGGGCGTTAAGGTCCAGGCACTTTTTTTTGCATCTACAATCACGAGGATGGAGAGCAGTTTGCACCAACTTTTTAAACTACGGCAGAATAAAAAGAAACACTTTAACTTTAGGCGTTTAAGTGTGAGTGGGTTTCGATGGATTCGAGGTGGATCGGATCACCTCAGGGAAGTTAACGCCATGTTTACTGAATTCCGATTGCTTCTGTCGATTGGGGCTGGTGGAACAAGTTGGTGGATGGATGGTTAAGTGTGGATTGGTTGTGTAGTATTGTAGGATCTTCACTTTCTTCTCCCACCTACATAATTCCCAAGTGAGTGTAAGGACAGCATTGCCGTAAGTTGATTCACATCATAAGTAAAGTGGGGAGGGCGAGGAGACGAAAGCTCCCTCTTTTCTTGGCATTTGAGAGATGAGCTTGCACCTCCACCAAATGGTTCCCCCTGCCTGCCTTGTTAAATGCGACCACCTACTGTCTGATGAGTTGGCTCAGGCGTGTCCCCCTTTTTATCCCTAAATGTACACGGTTTTAGCTCCACAATGGGCCTTTTTGTTATCCGACGGAATGTCTTGGAACACTACGCTTGCAGTCTGCGGAATCTCAGATGCAAATCAGTGCAATCAAAGTAGATCTCCGTGAGAAAGGTAAAAGTGACATCCAAACAGTTATAAGTTTAATTTTATCGGACTCGTAGAGACGGAGGTAAAGTGGCTCCAAAGAAGAATATCACCGTAAAGGCCCTATTCACAACTGTATGATTGTGTTAAGAGGGGAGGGGAGGACGTGCAGATATGACTATTGTAGTGCTTTGTTCATGTGACTACCCGAGGTTTGGGCGGTCACTTTTAGGAATTGTCCCGCCCTTGTGCGTGTGAGCTGGCCTTCGGGCCATGCTCAGGCGCAGTTGCTCCGTCAGCATTGGAATGCATGTGCTGGAACTGTCTGCCTACCCTCATGTCCATGCACCAAGGACTTTAAAAGAGGGTTTAGTTGTAGTAGATTTATTAGGCACTGAATACAGGAAGAACGGCGATAGTAGTAGAGATGAGCCGAATAGCAGATATCACCAGGAGAGGGATTCCTCATGATTTTCATGTGCCGTATTTGCATTCAAATTCTCTCTTATAGAGGTCGACTTAACCAAGTAATATACATTAGGTTGTTTAAGTAAACTTTTACAGGAGAGACGCGGGAACCAAAATTGGGATCGCGAATTAGGTGCGTGAAGCCGGTGAGGAGTCTCCTTCCAATTGATATCTCCTACTCGCTTCATCTGCATCCCATTCCCAATCCTCCCCGGTAACAAATGCCTATTAGATCATCTGCAACCAACTCTATCTTAAAGTCTGAGATTCAAGGACCAGAGGGTAGACGAGCAGCTCTTACTCTGGTGGTAGCATCGGTCGACATCCCTCTCGTCAAAGGAGGCACTGATTTCGATGATTGGCTTTTCTTTACAAGGGCAGATCTCGAACTCTAAGAGTTTGCTCGGCAAGTACCATTGCTACTCCGCGCCTTGCCCTACGACCTACTTTGGGAAGCAATGGATGCGAGTGTCTCGCTTTCCTCAGATATGGAAGACTGCTGTGAGGTTCTTGTTAAATTGGCATCCCTCCAGAAGGAAGAATTTTTGGCTTCAGACTTTTCACCGGTTACAAAAACCGGGAGATAGTGGTGAAGGCTTTGAGGGGACTCTCCAGGCATTAGCCAAACAGGCATTCAAAGTTTGCTGTCCCCTGCGGGTTGCCTCATGGATAGCGGTCCACTTCAAAAGGGGTGTGCGTCCATCTGCTTTGGCGGAACAACTGGTGCAGATGAAGACTAGCAGATTGAGCCGCCTCATCAACGCGGCACTAGCTAAGCGTCAGGAGTTACAACTCAACCGATTTCAAGGCTCCCGTTCGCCCGTGGACTCCAAACAGATGGCCTACTGGCGGGCAAAGGCGTGCCCTGCGATGCGGCCCCTCAACGCGAAGTACGACACACTTTTCTTTGTCTTGTCTAACTCCCTCACGACGTTCTACCTTTATGCGTGTACGGGGCAAGCTAGAAGGTCACACATGCTCATTTCTTTTGGGCTGGGCAGCAGCACGTTCCCTACTGAATCTACAAGCCTTCCCCATGGTCTGCAGCAAGGCCAAAATATACTCACCTGCTACCAGACTACGCTATGCATAAGGAAAGGAAGCACCTATCAGAGTTTTAATCGGGAATGACAACTGGGATGTAAATTTCGTGCTGTGCCCAGAACCAGCCTGGAACGTACTGTTAAGAGCCGACTTTTTACGCCAGTCCCGAGCGGTTATGGACTTCGATACAGGCAAGCTCACAATCCATCGATGGTCCAAGAAGAAGCGTTCGATCCATAAACCAAGGAAAGACGCAGAGGATATATGCAAATCCCTTTTTGACGCCCTTGCCATCCCCACAACCAAGTTAAACGATCTCAGCACTCAACTAAAACAGGTTACTGAGGTTGTGAAGACGGAACTCCACTCACCACTGAAGAACAACTCACAACTGTTCTCCTGGGTTGGGGGAGGGGAGGGGAGGGGAGGGCGCAGCGAAACAGCGGCGAACGAACATAGTCATACACAGGATCGATACTGGTGAGGTCAAACCAGCCTAGCAGTCGCCTAGACGCACACCACCACCACCACCTCACCAAGACGAAGTACATCGATTGATTGACGAGAAGCCGCGCGACAAGGTTATCAGGCCCTGTCAGTCCCCCTAGGCCTCCTCCATCGCATTAGTTAAAGAGTGACGGCAGTCTACGTTTAGTCCTCGATTATAGGCAACTCAATGGAGTAACAAAGAAGGTTGCGTTTCCTCTACCCCACATTAACGACTCTTTGGACTCTGCAAGGAGCGAAGTGGTTCTCGAAACTGGATCTGAAATCTGGCTACTGGCAGATGGAGGTAGAGGAGAAGGATAGAGAAAAATAGCCTTCATTGTGCCTGCAGCGTTCCGAGGCTTCTCATAGGGTGAAAAAAGGCGTTAGTGAGGTTAAATACAGGAGAAATTGGCCTGGGCATGGCCCGAAGGCCAGCCCACCCATACAGGCCCAAACAACTACTAAAGTGACCGCCAAACGTCAGGTAGTAGCATAAACAAAGCATTACGGTGCCAAATGGACTATATGGACAATGTCTTTTGGGCTTTGCAACGCGGCAGCCACTTTCCAGCGACTTATGCAAACAGCATTGCGTGACCTATCACCGAAACACTGCATTATCTATCTGGATGACACAACTCCAACCTCCGATTAGTACTGTATCGGCTTCGGGAAGCGGGTCTGACGCTGAATCTCAAGAAATGCAGTTTCTTCCAAAAGCCGGTCACGTTGCTGGGTCAAACGATTCCTGCAGATGAGATGACGGCACGGGAGACAGAACAAGAGAAGTAAGGACTTGGCCGACACCTACAAATCAAACAGTACATCACAACGAGATTAGGCCATATACGAGTCCTCCCCCAGTAGGTTACGAAGGGGAAGTCTATACGCTATCAGAAAAATGACAACCACCTGATGGAACCCTACTGGTCAGCACCAGGGATGGTACTAGTTCTTTTAAGTGACTTTTATAGGAGAGAGGCGGGAACAAAACCAGGAACGATGATCACGTGCGCGAAGGCGGTGAGGAGTCTCCCTCCAATTGATATCTCCTATTCGGCTCATCTGCATCCCAACCCCATTCTTCCTGTAACAAATGCCAAATAAGCCATCTGCAACTAACCCTCTCTTGAAGTCCGAGGTTCAGGGACAAGAAGATAGGCAAGCAGCTCTTACAAAACACTCTAGTATATATTACAATCAAAATGACCACAAATCACGTATGTAATCAATAAAAAAGGACTGCTAGTTCTGCATTTTATGTAAGGGCCGCATTTAAGTGTTTTTATATCACTTGATGTCAATCTTTAGCTTTTGTATAACGTTTTATATTTTGACCTTTTAAGCTCCTGTTGCTCCGATTTTACAAAATCGCAGCATTTATATTAAGCAATGAATGATATTACAAATGAACCAGTACTCGCTGTAATTGTTGAGCGCATCATTTAGGTCAGTGTGCTATGCTTGCAGACTGGTTATTGCGGTTTCGGCTACTCAACGTGCTATAAAAAATTGGAATGTCGCAAATCGCGCATCAAGACACGTTGATAAGATAGAAGCTAAGAGAAAAGTGGTTCTGAGTAGCTCAAAAGTTGGGGAAGGACCTTGTCAATATGACAAAGCCTTAGCCGAAAAGGACGCTGGTTTGGAAGAACGTGCTATATCATCTGATATATCAAGTGAGGAGATCAAAGAAATGGATTTTTTGTCTGAGGGTTTCAATTATATTGCAAAGTTTAATCGTAAACTCCCAGGCATATATTGAATGCTTTTTGACCATATTATCAATAAGAACCTCGAATTTGGTAGTCCAGTGGTCCCTCTCCCTTTTGATTTTGGGTTTGCTGTGCTTGAGTCTATTCCAGAAGGAAAAATTACTATGCAACAGGCCGTAGACATTGATAAGATCTTGTCAACTTAAAGAGAAGACAGTGTCCCAACTTGCTGATGAACATGATCTTGATAAACTCATGGTTTGCTCACGTTCTTTATCTTGAAGTTTGTTGGTTTCCTCCTTATGTAAATAGTTTGTATTGTTTGGACCTTCGGGTACCACCAAGAGGGTCAAAAAGTGCGAAGACTCTACTTGATACTCCCATATACGAAGAAGACGAGCAATTAGCAAACGAAGGGACTTCTTGTCGCCTCCGGTTGCACGAGTTCAAATTACGCTCCTCAAAACTTTCTTTAATACCACTTTTACATAGTTGTGCAATTTCTTTGAAAAGTATGCAACGGCTTTTTGTCAGAAGGCTGTTGATACGTTTAATGGGTTGATGATCCGTGGTAATGAATTATTGAATCAGGAATATGGAACACAAAGTAGACTGTACAATGTCTTGGAACACTACACATGTAAGAACAACGACTTCACTTACTGAATACAGTCGGATCTCGACGTTTTTTAGCTTCTGGACGGACAAATGAACTTAAGTGAGAATACTTTAACATTTATCTTGTCCATTCCTTCTGACATAGTCAAGATAGAATGCCGTTCTGTAATCAATTTGTGACAGATCAAACTTGGACATGTGCTCCAAAATCAAACTATTGATGGACCTGAATCCACGTCTGCAGGCTCTATTTGCCTTGGATATCGATTTAGTAAATTGACTATCGCTGCTCTGACATTTTGTTTTTAGCATAAAAACAAATTTTGTTAATTTTATTGGTAAATGCAATAATTATTGTATATTTTTTATTCCTTTATGCCCCAGATTTTTAATTTCCCTCTTATGCAACCTCTTTGTTGGAAACAGTCCAACACTGAAGTTCCATTTGCTAACGGAATTGGATGATGGATCTGACTCTGCCTTGCGAAAACTTGCTGCCCAAGAATTCGCCTCTCGTCGGGAAGCACTGAGGTCATTGGGAAATCAGGTCTTCTTGATAATCGCGATAAATAAATTATGGACCTATTGCTGCCACCCGATCCAACAGCAAAATGCAACTCAATGCGCCTGCAGCTGATAGCTGGGGCAGCATATACGAAGCTTATACCTGCTACCGTGGTTGGCGGTTTGCATCTATTGCTAACGCCGGAGCAAGGAAGTCTGCCGTTGGTGCAGACAGTCCGATCCATCATGTGGAAGTTCGTGTGGAGTCGTCCAGCCCCATAGATCCCGTGCATCCTTATCTCCAATGGGAAGCTGGTGTACACCGTGTTCAGCGTGTACCACTTACAAGCAAACTAAACAAGATCCACACCGGCACTGTCGCTGTTATCATCGCTCCAAGTTATCGACGAGGTAGGTTACTTATTTTATTTTAGTGGCAACGCTTCATTATAATCCATTGATAGACGTGTAGACTATCGGTAACGCAAAGCGCCTTAATAATCTTCATGCTCTTTTCTCTAAGCTCTGTAGGTAGCCAACTTTTGGCTACATCGCTTCGCTCGATGCTTCCATTATCGGCTGGAATTTGTTCACATATAGTCGGTACTGCTTCTAGTTATATAACAACGGTGGGTATGCATCTATGCGAGATTGACACCTCATTGCAATAGTAGGAGAATAGAGCAATTAGTGAGTGTACTGATTACGCGTTTGTCAATAGTGATAGTGCCTATTGTCATGCAGTATCTAGTGGCACGCTAAAATTTGATGACGTAAGCTACGAAGGGGAGACCTATGCTTGCAACGGAGGCAACAAGATTATGTTAACCTCGTTTCTAATGCTGCTGTAAATGTGCAGAACGATCATTGACATTGGAGCGTGGTACGTTAGAATCACATGGTTCACAGTCCCAAAGAAGGATTTAGTAGGCTCTTGTTCTTGGGTAAAAGTGGCTATGACAATTAGCTGCAAATCACGCTTAAGAGAAGTGAATATCACTTTCATCAAAGGTAATTATGCTAGTTGAAGTGTTCGTTATGGTAAAGAGGTTCGCTATACAAATTTTTTGCAAGTATATGCGGCACCTATAGTGTTCTATCGGTCTCTAACCAAAGGTAATACAGACGGACGTCATTCATTTACGGCATGCAAAGTCAAGACGTAGGCGTCGGTTTCCCTCTCAACCAATTGAAATGGGATGGTCTATACCGGTTTCTCATTTCGATGCTTTCCATCTTGTAGGTGGAAGTGGAGTTGGATCCGGAGGACTTGGAGTGGGAGGTGTTCCGTGCTTCCGGTGCTGGGGGCCAACACGTGAACAAGACGGAGAGCGCAGTACGTGTGCGTCATAGGCCCACGGGGCACGTCGCTGCCTGTCAAGCTGATCGCTCTCAGCATGCCAACCGGGGAAAAGCCCTTCAGTTACTCAGAGCCAAGTTGGTCTTTGTTTTTCTTCCTATTCACTAGCCCAATTTATTGCTGTCTATTCTGCACTATTCGATAGCAAAGTTCTTTGTATTTATGAGGATTTGCGGTATGTTTAGAAAGGGTGGGAATGATTTCCTCGCTTTTCATGTTTTGATCGGATCAAAGTCACGTCATTTTCTTCTATTGCTCTTATTTCCCGCAAGACGTTTTCCAAATCGTTGACACTTGTCTTGAGCATTTGTTAGGTGTTTTTTCAAAGCTCTCAATTTTTCAAGGCTTCATAATTTTCTCGAAAGCTTGAGTGTGTCGGCGAATCCCATCCGTGCCACTTCCCTTTTCTTTTCAAGAGATCTTTTGCTTGGTTTGTAGGGATCTCTGGTCTTGCAGAAGGCATCTGGCCGTATATCACGTCTGCGATTATGGTTAACTATGTTCTAGGTTGATTACTTGGAAATGTTCAAGTGTCTGCTTCTTTTCTGA